AACGTAATTATCTGTGTTTGAGACCCCATCAAATGTTTCTAAGTGAGAGAAATAGAGTGCAATGACCAGCATGTTAAATGCCTAGCAGCAGGCATTTTTCTGCTACGCGGTCGACCGCACAGCGGTCAGAGTGTTTTCTCAGGTTCGGGTTCAAACGGGTTTCGGGTCGGGTTTGGTATTTGGTATATATGCTAATGTGCCGGAGAGAGCCTCCCTCACATCTGAAATCAGTAACCCTAGCCCCCCTCTCTTCTCTAAAACCCTAATCCTCCTTGTTTGGTGATTGGGGAGAGGTTCTTGAGGAGTTGCAGCAGTTTTTGGTGGGATTCAGCGAAGGGAAACGTTCTCCTTCAGATTCAGAGACCCATTACTCACTTGAGGCGAGTATCATCTCGCCCAATCCCTCACCCCTATTTTCTATGATTTTCGTTTTTCGTTTGAATTTTTTTGAGTTTTGATGAGCCAAAATGGTATTTTTGTATAAAAATGAACTCTTTATAATATGGTTAGCAAGAATCAAAGGTTTCAGTTTATAAAACTTCACCAATGTTCTGTTAAATAAAGATCTAGATCTGAGATTTGCTTAACCAAGGGTTAAATCACGTTTACTGTTACCAAAACGTTTTAATCTTGTTTCTCTTGTATTTAGAATGTTGGGGATATAGTTTATATGCTTAAAATTTATTGTTTTTCTACAGTATGATTTATAGAGATATTAGATCTGTTTTATCGTAGAAAAATACAAATTTTTATTTTAGGTTTTGAGCTGACAGAAACCCAGATTTGGGTTTCTGTCCGCTTGGCAGTCAACCGGTGCGGTCGACCGCTGAGCTCGCTGTAGAGGCAGAAATAGTCTGCGGTCGACCGCACCGGTCGACCACGACGTTCTGCCGGTCGACCGAAATGCCTAGCGGTCGACCGCCAGGCTCGTATCAGAGTACGGTCGACCGAGTCGGTCGACCGCCGCACTGTCTGTTGCAAATTCCTATTTTGTGTACCTTTAGGTATTTTACTCATGTTCGAGTGTTTGATTGGATTATCTGACTTTGGTTTTTAGTCTTACTATGTACTCAGGCATGATAGATGACCTGAGGGTATAAATTGGGGACTTACACACTGATTTGAGTGGAATATAAGTAGATTTCAGTATATGTCACAGTGATATTTTTCACCTTTTCTCAGTCCTCGTGTTGGACTATAATCCATAGAAGTCCTCGTGTTGGACATTTGCCACTTATTCCATGAGTTTGGAAGCTACAATATATAGTTCCTGTTTCGGACCTAGTTCTTAACCCTGAATATGATTTTCTCACAGAAGATCGCGACATGATAGTTATGTAGATTTTTACATGACACTTATGTAAATTTTAACATGATATTCATATAGGCCATGATATGGCACTACACTTATGTTCTGAGATTAGTTGTATTTTTTTTATTATTGTTCCTGTATTAGAACCTCGGGTTAGGTGATTAGGGGTTTACAATTTGAGATATAAGGTATATACATGAGGGTTTCCTTGTTTGGATTATTTCGTTCGATGTACCTATTTCTCGTGTTGTAAATTCCAAATTTCCAAACCCTCTTTAGTAAGATCAATGAGTTTAGATCTATTATATATTATCTGTATTTTCTTATACAATGAGCCCTGTTCCCTTGGGGTTGGTTGTGATGTTACTCGCTAGCGCTTTGACGCTCGTTGTCCCTCCCCCTTTCAGGTAACCAGCCAGGAGCCCGGAGAGTCGCAGGTTGATGGCGATGCATTTTAGCTTCAGCTGTCTATTTAGTTATGTATTTTCTTTTGGAGCTCCACAGTAGACTTTTGTTTAGACATTTGGGAGTCTTGTTCTAGAAGTTGTAAAGGCTGTGTGTGTTATTTCCTTTTCGTCAGATATTTGTATTTGAGACTTGTTGAGTATTCCAGTTTATCTACTCAGACCTTGATTATGTTCTTATGTATGTTGGATGATGAGATATTTATGTGATCATTATCATTTCATCAGTATTTCTTGTATTATCTTTTTCTTGCCTTTGTACCTACACCTGTCGTTGACTCTACTAGATAGATGTTAATTGTGATGGTGAAACATGTTATTGCATGGTGTGGTGCATGGCAGGTTTGACATTCTTGGTTTTACCTAGGACTGCAGCCTTGTGTGAACCCAGGGGCGTCACAGTTGGTATCAGAGCTCTAGTTCTAATATCCTTAGGATCATTCTGTGTCGAGTCATGGAGCTTGGTTAGAGTTTCTTAGGATTCATGTGTAGAGTCCGATAAGAATTTCCTAGTATGAGTGAGTATGATGTATGCCTATATCTAAAAAATTAAGAATTTTTTTTATGACAACTATTTTATGTTGATTGAAGGTATTTGCGTGAATACTATGTGTTATGAATTCGTATTGTGATACGTTATATATATATATATATGTACTTTTGCTATCTCATTTACTGTGATAATTAAGCTTTCCTTTTTGATATTATAAATATCAAAACGAGAATGTGGTCGAGGTAAAACTCGTACCTGGAGAAATGGGCATGCAGACCCGAGCCGTAGCAGGCTCCACAGTATTTGATCGACATCATAGCACTGTTAGCAGCAAGATCTTACAATACTCGAGGAGCAAGAGGTGTAATCGTTTTTGTCAGCAATACCACTTTCAGGAGTTCATCACCGGTTGTACCCGTCGTGAAAATAAAGAGGCAATATTAATGAGGGCACCATCACCACAATCAGTTGTTTATAGAGCCATAGAGCAGGAAGTTTAGCTCTAAAAGAACAATGAGGGCACCATCACCACAATCAGTTGTTTATAGAGCCATAGAGCAGGAAGTTTAGCTCTAAAAGAATAAGAAAGATATCAGATAATAAGAGCACCAAAGTTTCAAGTCACACCAATTTCATTTGCAACCTATAGGAGAATGAGTATGTGGAAATTTATTGAACGTCGACTTAGTACCAAGCAGAAGTTAGATGTATTCAGCATTGAGGACATCGCTGGAGGATAGCAACGACATCAAGATTTTTTACGAGACAGTAATTAACCCCTATTTTGGAGAATTTTAGTCACTACTTCAACAAGTAGTTAAAAGCTAGTCTAAGTAAAGCAGGGAGATATACCCGTAGTAAAGAAAGAAAATCAAATCAGAATAGTGACAATGATAATGACAAGAGAACTATTACGGAATCTAGAGAATCCTAGCAACGGGGGAATGATTTTAACCCAGTAACAAGGACAATATAAGAAAGGAGCTCAATATGATTTGAGAGCGCCGAAGTAGCGCAGAGTCCGGAGTACATGTTACAATCAAAACAATATTGAACAAAGAACGAAAGACTTGTCGCAGTACACCAGCAGGAAGTCAGCATGATAAAGGTCACAGTCGATAGTCTCAGAGTCATAATTTTGGCCAACAGCGGAAAAATAGAGACACTACTTGTTAATCCGAGGATTTAGGAGCCACAAGCCAGATTTGCTTTATCCAGGAGATTCCTGAAGGACAGATTATCCCATATTTGCATTATCCAGCATAGTCTATTCAATAGTACCGCGTGATCAGAGTACGAGTGGAGTTTTCTTCGTGATTTCCTTTTCAGCTAGGATCTAGTTGAGTTAGGAAATTTGCCTATCTCTTATATTTCATACCTTAGTTGATAGGTTTCAGCTTGTAGCACATTCCTTAGATATTCTGTTGTCAGTCTCTACTCCTCTAGAGGGGGTGTCCCTTCCATCTGTAGGAGATGTGTCATCAAACTTGATGAGTTTGAGTTAGTCATCGAGTCGATCGTGTTGTTAATGTCAAATTTCTACATCAATCTTGGTACGGATTGGCTATCTTCCTACCACATTAGTATTGACTGCTTTGCGGAAACGGTCAAATTTGTGAGTGTCTGATGGGTCCGAGATTATTATAGAAACCTCCCAGGGCAACCGTTTTGCGGAGTCATTTCTGACGTACATCGATGAGGTGATGCGACGGGATCAGGGTATTGATTTATTAGAGACTAGAGTTATCTCAGAGTATCAGGATGTCTTTCAGGACATACCTGGATTACCTCTTGTGTGAGAGGTCGAGTTCTGTATTGAGTTGCAGCCAGGCACTGCCCCGATATCCCGCGCACCCTATTGTATGGCACCAGCTGAGATGAGGGAGCTTCAGACCCAGTTGGACGAGTTATTAGCTTAGGGTTTTATTCGCCGGAGTCATTCTCCGTAGGGCGCGCCGGTCCTCTTCGTGAAGAAGAAGGGCGGTAGTATAAGATTATGCATAGATTATATGGAGTTGAATAAGGTCACTATCCGAAACAGGTACCCACTACCTAGGATTGATGACTTGTTTGACCAGTTGCAGGGTGTGCAGTATTTCTCGAAAATTGATCTTCGTCCTGGCTATCATCAGTTGCGGGTTAGGGAGATTGATATTCCCAAGACCGCCTTTCTTACTCGATATGGTTCTTTTGAGTTCTTGGTCATGCCATTTGGGTTGACCAATGCACCCACGGTATTCATGGACTTGATGAACCGGGTTTTTCGTCCCTTCTTAGATCAGTTCGTGATCGTTTTCATCGATGATATTCTCATTTACTCGAGATCGGAGGCGGATCACGAGGAGCATCTACGGATAGCGTTGGGGACTCTTCAGGAGCATCAGCTGTATGCCAAGTTCAGCAAATGCGAATTTTGGCTTTCAGAAGTCAGATTTCAGGAGCATCAGCTGTATGCCAAGTTCAGCAAATGCGAATTTTGGCTTTCAGAAGTCAGATTCCTTGTCCACATCATCAGTAGAGAGGGCATAGCAGTGGACCCGGCTAAGGTCACGGTCAATGTTACATTAAACGCTGGGCGCTCCTGGGCGTCGGACTTGGCGCCCAGCGCTTAGACGCCTAGGCGGGCGCCTAAGCGGTTTCTGGGCGGTTTTTTTCTTCTGGGCGGTTTTTCTTTTTTTAATTGTGATACTTGAAGATAAATATATATACTCAATCAATAATGGGAATAGTCTAGATGTAATATAATGAATTAGCAATATGCATCTAATCTAATGTCATCATCAAACATCATCATCATCATGAAGTTCCTCCTCTACTCCATCATCGCTATCCTCTCCAGAATCCATCTCCACACAATCCTCCTCTTCGTCTGAAACATCATCATCCGAGACAAGAGGCTCTTCTTCATCATCTATCACTGAAGTAGAAGCACTTGAAGGTCCTGCTAGCCTAGAACTCCTCCTATTCTCCGCAGCCTCAGCCGCTCCCGATATACCCTCTACCATCCTCCAAGTAAGACCTGAGCCAGGATGAACTTCTTCCTCATCATCGGAGCCTGCTCCTTCTAGGATCCATGCTCGTGCCTTACTACGATCAGTAGATAGTAGCAGGTTCTTGTTTTCTCCTCTCCTCTTCTTCTGGTTGAGCTTTGAGTTAAACTTCACATAGACTAGTTCCTCTAACCTCTTCGATTCCAATCTATTCCTCTTCTTCGTATGAATCTTCAAAAGTAAAGGACACAAATTAGAAAACACAACTAAGAAGATCACGATGATCACGAGCCCCCTCTCACTAATACATGTATCCCAATATCAATATGACAATGGTGTCTTGAAGGACTCGCTTGACATTCAACACTATGGCATCATGACCATGTATAACCTAAGAAAATTCGATACTAATATAAAACTGGTAGATCCTAGCATGATCTTGTCATGAAGATTTTGTCCTTGTATTTCTTAAGCTTATAAACATATGGATGGAATCATGTTTCAATGGCAATCCTCAAGTATTAATATATTTTTCATAAGTTTAGAAATTAGTTTACCCCCTCAAATGTGCTCCAATTCCTTTCACAACCAGAAGAGCTGCTTGTCAAGTTGAGAAGTTTCATAGCCATATTTTGCATGAAGGGACAATCACCACCATGCAAATACCATCAATTAGCTACAAAAAATAATATATTATTAGTTGATTCACTACCACAATGGCGCAATAGATAACTTATAAGTCATATATGATTCAATTTCTAAAATTATTTTACCTGGGTTCAAGTCTGATTTCTCTCTAGCCTTCACCGCTCCAATCCTAGCAAATGAACCCTTTCCTTCTCTGTATCTCTCCAACTCTTGAGTATGAATTTCAACTTGTTGCTCTACATCAGGATAGAACAACTCCACCACATCTAGAAATCCATCTTTCGCCCTTTTGCAATTCTTCACTATATCATCCCTATAGAAATAGTAAGGGTTGAGGTAGTAAGAAGCCATATGCAAGGGAGAAAAGAGCCGATCCTTGGACTTCCCATCTATAATATCAATCACGGGCTTGAAATCCTTCTCCTTATTCTTGAAAACTTGAATGATCTCCTTCTTCATATCTTCAAGCATCCCCACCACAAATCCCATTGAGGGTTTGTAGTCACTATCGACTACCCTCAACAATCGAAAAATAGGAGCATACACCTTCAAGATCTTGGCCACCGCTGTCCACCAACTATCACTCATAGCAATCGCCTCCACCTTAGCGCCTTTAGCGGTCTTTGCAAGCTTGCATCTCACCCATGCTTCATCGGAAAACATAAATCTCAACTTCCCTTTCTTCTCAAGAAGACTCCGCAGAGTCAAAAATGTAGTGGCGAAACGAGTAACTCCAGGTCTCACAATGTCCCTTTTGTCACAAATGCGACGCATCATAGACAAAGTCTTGTGATGACTATAGATAAAGATGGTGAGGGTCCTCGCCTTCTCAATTGCTCCTTTGAATAAACTCAACTTCCCAATGCTTTCAAGCATCAGGTCAACAGTGTGCGCTGCACAACTAGTTCAAAAAATCCTCGGCCTCCTCCTATATAAAAGCTCCTTCGC